TACAGATAATATTGATAAAAGAGTTAATCAAAACTTAGATATTTTTTAAGTTTTTAATATTTGTATCCATTAACAAGAGTTCCCATTAAAAGTTCACTTTTCATCTGTGCCTAAATCCACATATAAACAGACAAAAATATTCTATCAGCACGTACTTTGCAATATATATTTTTAAAACTTCTATTTCTTCACTGTCTTTACAACAGGAAGAAATATGTTAGTTCTGCCAGGCTGCAGCTGAGATAAATCAGGCTAATAACAAGTCCGAGTGAGGTTTTTAATGCTGACTGCTCCACTCGGTTCAGGGAAAGCAGTTCATTTACCACAGACATTTAATATTCATGAGTTACGCACTGCTAGAGTGGTGAAGCTGCACACGCTGTTAGGTCTTCACTAATTTACTTGTAAGAACATCCTACAGTGATAATGAGGAGTCCTGATGGTTAGAGACGCTGCATTCACACAGACTCTACAGTAAAACGCTGCGCAGCGCCTGAGCGGAACAAGCATTTATAAGAGCAAGACAGGAGATAACTCACAGCGGCAGCAGCGACGCCTGCAGTCTGAGCAGCGATGGGCGTTGACTTCTTAATGTTCCTGAAGCCCTCTGTGCCGCAGGATGTCTTGACCATAGTCTGACGACCCTCACAGTTTGTAAGCTGGACGTGTGTGCTGGCAAAGGACAGACATGTTTATTAGATCACTTTTATACAAAACAAGAGCATGCAATAGCATCTTAGATCCTTGTATACTATTTTTTTTATATATCAATCAACCTTTATTTAGACAGGTAAATCCCATTGAGCCTCGAGGACTCATTTACAAGAGAGACCTGATTTCAACAAAGAAAGATGACAACAATGGACAACAGCAACAACAATAAACAATTATAAAAGGTCATACTGCAGTTTTTTTTTTATTAACAAATAGGATGGCTAAAAGGAAAAGGTAACAAAACAAAAAACAAACAAAAAAAAATAATAATAAAACAGCTAGATTCTAAGGCGAATGTAGAAAACTAAAAACAGGAACATGTCTACATTGGTCCCTGCCAGGAGTCCAACAGAT